GGCCGAGGCCGGGCATGACCCAGGAAAGTGTGTCCGGCCGGAGTTAATCAAGCGTGGTGGGTAAGTTGGTGCACCCCTGCAGGGAAGAACTAATCTATGCATAGCCTGTCCTACGGTAACGGACACTTGGAGTTGTATCCCGATTGATACAACTAGAACTGGATACTTGTGATGAGAATTGGATTGTGATGAGAAATGGATAGTACGGCTCTGGGATTTCTTTCTCGCAGGGAGTCGAGAAAGGATCTCTGGCCGAGGTTGATAACACTACTACTACTTTACTTTATGCTACTCTACTCCCTCCTGTTTGCTGCAAGATGGTGGTTTCCAGAAGATGCTAGTCTTCGATAGGACTAGGCCTTCTCTCTATTCTGGCATTTCTGCAGCCCAGTCCACATATACAGCCTTCCTTTGATAATGTTGCATATGTAGTGTAGATCCTTGCTTGCGAGTACTTTGGATGAGTACTCACGGTTGCTTTGCTCCCCCTTTTCCCCCTTTCTTCTTCTTTCCGGCTGATGCAACCAGATGACGGAGCCCAGGAGCCAGATGCCACCGCCGATGCTTACTACTACGTGGAGGCCGCCGATGACCAGGAGTAGTTAGGAGGCTCCCAGGCAGGAGGCCTTGCCTTTTCGATCGATGTTGCTTTTGTGCTAGCCTTCTTAAGGCAAACTTGTCTAACTTATGTCTGTACTCAGATATTGTTGCTTCCGCTGACTCTTGTGTTTTCGAGCTTATGTATTCGAGCCCTCGAGGCCCCTGGCTTGTAATATAAAGCTTGTGTTATTTTAATTTGTGTCTAGAGTTGTGTTGTGATATCTTCCCGTGAGTCCTTGATCTTGATCGTACACATTTGCGTGTATGATTAGTGTACGATTGAATCGAGGGCATCACAGGTGCAACCGCGGGGACGGCCTCGGGACGACGGCGTGGACCACGTGCGACGCTCGCTATGGCCCGTCAGTGCGAGGCAGCGGCGACGCGAGGATCGGTGCAGCCATGGGGATGACCTAGAGCGGACGGTCCGGGGTGGCTGTGGACCGCGGGCCGCGGCACTACGGCCCGAAGGGGCGATGTAGTTGTGACGCAGGTCGGTGCAGCCGGGAGAAGAACCACGGGGCGGCGGCGCTGCGGCCTGATGGGGCGACGCGGCGGCACCCCGTTGCTCAATCGGTAGAGGGGCGCGCTGAACTCGGGACGGTCTCCACGGGTCCTGCGGAGGCGCGCAACCGACGGGCCAGGTCGGTCGCCCGGCATAGATGAGGCGGATTGCAACGGTGGGCGGGTGATCAATCCGACCGTGCGCGAGGTCGGGGACGCCGCTCGGTGGAGACGGGGTGGCGACGGAGTCCGAGATGAAGCCGGCGACGATGGACGGCATGTGAACGAGCGCGTCGGCACCGACACCCGGGCTACCAAAGCAGCGCCGGTGCCTGGGCAGCGAGTCCCAAGCGACCAACGGAGCAGCAGCGCCCGAGCTCAAGGCAGCCGACGAGCCTGACACGGCCGGCCCGACGCAACCGTGGACGAGGCCGTCGAGGCAACCCGCAGGGCCGTCGTGCAGACGCGACGGAGGCGGGTGGCGTGGATCGATTGGCGGGTCGACGCGCGAGCGGCGGCTATGATTGGCCGCCGCATCGCGCGAGGCCGTCGGGTGTAGGCGATGCAGGTGTCTCGGTCGGAGCATGGCGGTGATAGCTGGCGCAGGGCGACAGGAAGGCCGGCACGTGGACGACAGCCTTGAGGGGCCACCTGTCGCGCGCGGCCGCTGGGTCGGTGAAGCAGCCGGCCGGTCGCGCCGATGTCGGAGTAGAGGCGCAGGGTGTCGATGGCGGCAGTGGGCAATGCAGACCGATCAAGTAAAGATCAGAAAACCAAAAAACGCCGATCAAAATGACCAACGAGAGAGCGAAAATAAAACAGAGCGAGAGCTCGGGAAAAAGACTCTCTAGGGCAGCCGGCCAACACGGCCGGCGAACGAACTCTAGGTACGGACGGCGCGGCCCCAACGACGGTCATGGAGGCCAACCGCCCCAGGGGCGGCGCGCAGATGCGGAAGTGACGACGGCTAGGGTTTAGAACCCGGAAACTGATACCATGTTAGAAGGGGAGAGAGAGGATTGGTGAAATAATTTGTTGTATTGCTTGAGCCACGTGGGCATATATATAAGGGTGTGTTCAGTTGCTGTCATCAGATGGAACGTCATGGGTCCGTCCGGTTCCTATAGCCCATTCCCATGTTTAGTTAGTCAAACGGACCGGAACCCACCAATCCCATAAAACGGAATATTCGCACTATATGCGGAACCGAGGGATACCTCCGATTCGGGCGGACGACAAGGAACGATCCCCTCGCATGCACCTAGCCCTATCCTCTCGCGACTCCCTCTCTCAGCGCCGCCAACCCTCCCACATCGCCCCCACATCTCGATATGCCCCCTCTGTCCCTCTCCGGCGCCGCAATCCCTCTCATCCCCGTCGTCTCTCCTCCGTCATGGCGCGCATCAGGATCTTGGTGGCGACCTAGCAGAGGGTGGGGACTGGCAGCGGGACGGGGGACTGGCAGGGGTGGCCACCTTCAGCGGGGCGGCAACTGGCGGCGCGGCGGTGAACTAGCAGGGGTGGCCACTTGCAGTAGGACGGCTGGAGCGCAAGGAACGACCGGTGTGGCTGCTGCGTCTGGTTCTGCTGCTAGCACTGAAGGGATGGTATGTCTGGTTTTCCTGCTAGCAGCGAACGAGCAGTGAAGGCAGCAATTGGCTGCTAGCAGTGAACTCGGCATGTACGGATGTAGTGCACTTGTTGGTGGATGATTTGTTATTGTGAACTCATGTATGGCAGTGAACTTGGCATGTATGCATGTATGGATATATTGTTATGTTGTTTGTCTTTGAAATACAAATGAAATGCTACCAAAATTTCAGATTTTATGGGGTTTCATTTTTCATTCCATCTATCCAACCAAACACAAGAACGGAACCAATCCGTTTCGCATTTTTATTGGTACCAAACACAAAAATGGAACAGACCTGTTCCCGTGGAATGGAACCATTCCATTCTGTTCCACTTGGTTCCTCAACTAAATACACCCTAAGAGTACAATGATCTACTTAGAGTACAAGACAAGTCAGAACAAATCTTAGTCTATCTCGTTTTTCCTAATAATCAATATACTCAACAGGCTTGACACCTCCAAATTTATCTTATGCTTATTCTGCCAAGTTGGCAGAGAATTAGATATCAAGCGCCATGCAAAATTCCTCACCGTGGGAGGTACACCCGCAGACCATATACATTTCCATAGAGATCTACTACCCGATGGATTGCTCCTGAATGAAACTGCACTGGCCTTATGTGCCCTTTCAAATGCCAGATCATAAGCGCTTTTGACTGAGAAAAGACCAAACCGGCCGGGACCCCACGCTAGCACGTCCTCCTCCAGTCGAGGAGACGTGCGGATCTTTAGGATTTCAGTCACATCTGCAGGAACAAAGTGCTTTGACACGAGTTAAAGGTTCCAGGAACCATTGTCGTTCAAAAATTCAGTCACAAAATGGATACGACACGTCCCTTGTTGAGATATTGGTTTGTAAGAAAAGGACCGGGGGTCCAGTTGTATCTCCAAACCCGAATGCTTTGACCATTGCCTACTCTCCATAACAGGCCCTTTTTTAGTAGGTCTAAACCATGACTGGCCGCCTGCCAAGAGGAAGAGGCATTCCCAGTAAAAATTGTATCTTCTAGTTTCCCATCTAGGTAGTATCTAGCTTTTAGAACCTGGGCACACAAGCTATCCGCATTAGCTATCAAATGCCATGCTTGACGTGCTAACAATGCTTGATTAAACATCCGAAAGTCACGAAAACCGGCCCCTCCTCTATCTTTAGGCTGAAGAAGATGATCCCAACCTTTCCAATGCACTTTCCTTTTTCCTTTCGAGGAGCCCCAATAAAAATTCCTCACCATTCTCGTCAAATCATCACAGAGCGAGTACGGTAGTTTGAAGACCCCCATGACATAAGTTGGGAGAGCTTGGGCCACAGACTTTATAAGGACCTCTCTATCTGGTTGGGCTAAATGCCCATCACCCCATTGAATCAGCCTCTTAGTCAAGCTTTTCTGCAAATTCTGAAAGTGGCCCTTTGAGATGCGTCCATGGGGTGTAGGAAGACCCAAGTATCTCTCTTCAAAAACTGTATTTGTCACATTCAGCACAGCCCGTACTTGGTCATGTATCACAGCTGGACAGGAGGGGCCAAAAAACATGAAACACTTGTTGTAATTCAGGCTTTGCCCAGTGGCACCGCCATATAGGTTCAAAACTTTTTTAACTTCAAAAGCCTGATCCTGAGATGCTTCGAAGAACAAAAGAGTATCGTCCGCAAAAAGAAGGTGTGAAATACCCGGAGCTCTCCTACAAACCTTAACCGGAGTAATTGCCTCCATATCAACCCTATGCCTTAAAACAGCCGACAAGCCATCCGCCACAAACAAGAACAGAAACGATGATAAAGCCGAAGCCCACGCGTCGGTGCAAATGAATCCAAGAGGGTTCCGTTTAACTTGACAGAGTACCTCACCGATGTAACAGAGTTCATATTGTGTGTGCCTTCTATGTAAAAGTCTATTGATGCTACATTTTAAGGCAATGAAACGGGCCTGTCGAAAATATAGAGAGAGGCAAAGATTATGCGTGAGATGATGTGACTGCGTGAACGCATATACGTTATGTTTTGTGTTTCTTAAACAAGCAAGGTCTAATAGAGTCACTCTGTCTCGAATCCATCAAAAATGCAGAATACAGTTACTCAAAGTCCTCCGGGAGCAAGTTTAAGAAAAAAAAATTAAAAAAAAAGTCCTTCACGAGCACAAGTTACAGAAATCTAGAAATGCCGTGGCCGTGTGCCCGTAACCGGCAATCCAGTTTTGAGCATACTGCAGCGTCGGCTCGGTCCCTATCTCGCAAACTGACCCAGCCGATACGGACCGTGGGCGGGTCAAAGTTCGTCGGACGACGGCGGTGTCACCAGACCAACGACAGCCCTCGTGACAGCATCCTTCAACGCCTCCTCGTCGAATTCGCCAGCAGCCTACAAGATTCACAGCCAGTCAATTCCACCGGTTATTTTTAATCTCGCACGTCGTTCATGCACACGTGTGGGCTAGAGAGGCAAAGAGGAATACATCCCGCGTTGCATTGGTAGCTAAAATAATAAGAAATATTTAAAGGCAATCCTAGAATCAGAGCGGTTTTACAAAACAAATCATACACGATTCCGAACGTACAAATATGACTACAGACACAATTTGTTCCACGCAAGAATTAGGTCATGTCCACCATTATTCGTAACCTTGTTCACAAAAAAAAAATCATGCCTGGCATTTCAAATTCGAAATTTCGTCAATTCTTGCAGTAAAACTTTTTCTATCCCATCCCTATTGATCATTCTTGAAGTAAAATCTTAGGACGACGATAACGTGTGGGCGTTAAAGGGTTTGCCCACACGTTTTGTGTGGTGTCTAAGAGGACCAGCCCACACGCCTATGTGTGGGCAAAAGAAGTAATGCTCACATGTCTTTTTTCCTCGCGGTCCCTCTCACAAGCCTACTTGTGGGCAAAATAGATAACGCCCACACGACCTCTCTCAAGCACCTATCTCACGGTCCTGCACGTCCAGCGTGACAGTCACCACGCGTCCCACAGTTGGCATGGTCCGGACTCTCTTCAATGTCCATTTAATTGCAGTTGTCATGTTGTTGTACTACAGTTGCCATGTCTGACAACTACATTTGCCATGGTTGCTCAACTGCAGTTGCCATCTCAGATCAAGTGTCAGATGCCATTTTTTAGATAACTGCAGTTGTTGCCATGTATGGTCTGGTTACTACAGTTGCCATGATTTGAAAATTTTAGGATTTGTCACCTACTAACACTAGGCAGTTGCCATGTATGGTCTGGTTTACTACAGTTGCCATGATTTAAAAACTTCAAGAGTTGCCACTACTAACACTAGGCAATTGCCGTGTAGCGCTACAAAAAGACATCGCAAAATAACATGTTCGGGTAAAGAGAGAGTTGTCATCTGCTTACGAACACACTAGGGCAGTTGCCATGTACCCTGCAAAACACATGGCAATTGACATGTTCGGGTAAAAGAGAGAGTTGTCATCTGCTTACAAGCACATTAGGACAGTTGCCATGTCCCCTGCAAAACACATGACAAGTGACAGCTTTGAATGTGGAAGAGGAGACGTGTTTGGGCGAACTGATAAATGCCCACACACCAGCCATGTAAGTGAGTGAAAACTGACACGTGGACGAACTGCTAAACGCCCACACATCGATCCCTTCGTGTGGTGAAACAGACGTGTGGACGACCAGATAAATGCACACACACCAGTCCAGTCCTACGTAGCACCACAAACATGCCAAGATTCAAGCATCCACAAACGGACGCGGATTCATATATGTGGGCAAGATGCAAGCGCGCACATGTGTGGGGCCGAAATCTTAAGGAGAGCGAGATTGGACAGGGCAGCTTGTGTGGACGGCATTAGTAGGTATTCTGGCCAAGCAAAGCATTGTTTCCGGCCAAAGTCAGTCAGTCAGTCATGGCGATTAAAACGACTCGGTTATGGTTGTCTTTCTATATTTTCTTGCGGTGGGGAACAAATTTAGATCATGAAAGGGATATGTATTTCGAGACGTATTAATAGCGGATGAAGCTTCTCTGAAACTGAAAGGAACAGGACGAGAAGGGACTTCGAATGGAAGAGGAAAAGGTACGATTGATGGCCGTGACGTCACCAGAGAAGGCGGTCTAAGTTTTCTCGCCGAGTTTTCGCCTGCAGGTCGCCGTCGGCGAAATACTCAGGAGCTACTACTCCGTTTGACTTTGACCTGGCTCTGAACCCACCAAATCTCACGTGTATGGCCTACACCTAACCGCGGCAATTATATATATATATATATACACACACACACACATATATATATATAAACAAAAATCATCGTGACGTACGTACGGCGCGTACCGTTGCACGGAGTGTCAAGCTCGCCTGAGCAATGCCGCCGTCGCCGGTGCCCTGCGGCTGCCTGGCGTCGACGGCGACCACCGAGAAACGGTGGCCGGCCGTGTCCTTGAGCAGCGCCAGCACGCGGGCCACTAGATCCGACAGGTCGCCTGCCGCCGCCACCCTTATGGTCACCTCACGGCACTGCCCCGTCGAGAACGACGAGGACGATGTTGACGCGCCGGCGCTGCTAGTGGCCACCTCAACTTGTACCCTCTTTGACGAGCCGCCTGCCTGAAGGGCTGCTTGGTCAGGCCTATCCCTGGAGTTGCCGTTGGTGATGCGTTGGTGTTGCTGGATCTGCGCCGCCGTCTCGAGGCTTCGGTTCCTGGCTTCCAGCTCGGAAATCTGGGCTATCAGAACGTTCATGTAGTCCAGAGTGTTGGCGAGGACTGTAGCTTTGTCTTTCTGCAGAAAGAAAAAGAATGTACAAAGCAAATTAACGTAAAAAAGCATATATGAATTCATGATGAATATGTGCATAACGGAATGCATGTCATCACGTACCTTTGATCCGGGAGGAAGCAGCCCTCTCAGCGCCTCAAAGCTCTCGTTGAGCCTCTCCCGCCGCCTCCGCTCCGATATCATATGGTGCAGCTGGCTGCTCGTCGGGGCTGGGGGCGCGGCCTCCTCGTCTTCCTCCCGCCACCGCTGCGTCGTCGTCCCCGTGGTGCGCTCCTGGCCGTTGTTGTTCAGCGTGTTCATCCTTCTCAGGATAGAGATGCCCATCTTGATCATCCGCTGCCCAGGTGCGTCCGACGGCCGCCGCGGCGCCCTTGGCGCCAGCGCCGCGTTGTACGGCCGGAACGCCGTCGTCGTCGAGCCACGGCGCGGCGACCGATGCGCGCGACGGTAGCCTAGCGGAGGCGTGGGCGTGTTAGGCATAGCCGACGACGAGGAGGAGGATGCGGAGATGACCGCGAGCATGGCCTGCGCCATCGCGACGTCGTCGGCCTCGGGGCTCGGGAAGTGGACGTGGCCGTGGACATGGGCAGGGCCGTGCCGGCTAAATGGCACGGGATGCGGCGGACGGGGCGGGTGAGGAAGAGGTCCCGCCGTTAGGTCCCGGGGAGACGTCGTGGTGGACGACGACATGGCCATCGTGCGCAGCAGCGACGTCGAGCCGTCTGCCGGGCTGTCCACGGAGATGGACGGCAGAGAGGAGGAGGAGGACGACGGCCGCGTCGGCGGGAGCTGGAGCAGTTCCTCAAGCAGCGACTGCTGGAAGAAATCCTCCGAGAATATCTGACCGAGGCCGGCCTGAAGGTTCATCTGTCCCGCCGGCGTCGACATGCCGACCTCGATCTCGCCGCTTTCGCATCCCATGAAGGCCGCCACCTGCCGCGCGCATAAGCACTGCTCAGCGTCGTTCAAATGCATGCATGTTATACTCAAGCGAGGGTAATCAGGCAAACCTTAATGCCAGCTTCCTGGTAGAACTGCAGCTGCACCGGCGACGACGCCGAGGCCGCCAGTTCGTGCTCCGACAGCTCCATGTACGCCCGGCCGTCCTCGTAAGCCCACCCTGGCACGCACCCGCTTACGGCCGCGCAGAGCGAACCCTTGTATGCGTCGAACAGAGCGCGCTCGCGGTCGACGTCACCGCTGCCGCCATCGCGGAGCCATGCGTCCAGGCACAACAGCTGGCGGCGAGCTCTGCTCATGGTTGCATTGCGTGCATTCGGGCGTTGCATGTAAGAGACGACCCATCCGAAGCAGCAAATAACTAATTGAAATCGAGGCTTAATTACCTGTTGGCGGCTGTGAAAGGAGGAGTAGGACGGTGGCCGCCGGCCGGGATCGGCGCCCAGACGCAGAGGTAGGCGCAGGCGGGGACGCGCGACGCCGCTTGCTGAAGGATGCGCAGCCGGGATTCCTGGCCAAGCACGAAGAGCGTGTCCATCATATTCCGGAAGCGGCACGCCGAGAGATGGCCACCGCAGTGTCCTCCATTGCCTCCCGACGTCGATGATCGATGATGGTTCGTTGTCGCTGCCGAGTCATGGGTATTATATATACGATGGAATCGGTCGGGGGTGGCGATGCAAATGTGTATGCATGCATGTGTGGACGTGAGTGGAGGGAAAAGTATTAGAGTAACAGTACCAGCTAGTAGTAGTAGTATAGTGCGGTTGGGGAGGGAGCTGGTTTGGCTCCGAGAGAATGGATGGAGACATGGGACGGGGGGTTGAAAAGTATGAAGATGCTGGAAAGTCGTTCAAAGGTGGTGACGGGCTTCAAAGAGGGTCAAACTAGGGTGGCAACGAGGGAGGGGGTTGCTGGATGGTTGATCTTTAGTTCAGCTTCTCAGCTCATCTCATCCTTGGCCTCTCCCAAACTCATATGGGTTAAGAGCATCTCCAGCCGGCCCCACAAGAAGCCTTTCCAAGGCACTTTTTGGATGTCGGCGGATAAAAAACGCCCCACTCGAATCCCAGAGACACGTTTTTTGCCGGATTTCGCGAGATTTACGGCCGGCGCTATTACACCAAACCCAGCCCCCCGGGGGGCAGCTGGGGACGCCGGCAGATGACTTTTGCATGCATAGGGCCACTCGTCAGCCCCCTCTCTCTCTCCTCTCTCTCCCCTTTCTTTATTTTCTTTCTCCTCTCCTCTTCCTTTCCTTCCACACAGCACGCATGGCCGGGGCAGGGCTCGCGGACCATCTCCTTCCTCCTCGCTTGGGCGCCATGGCCACCATCCTCGCAAGATCCAGCCCATCTCCTCCGCGTCCGCCGAGTGGGCGTTCCAGTGGACCCGGTCGGCGCCGTCGCTCGCCGCCGAGTTCGTGGGCGGCCCGCTCAAGCGCTGGTGGGATTGGGGCCTCGGATGGCTGAGGCTTCGCCGGTGACCTGGAGATGCACGAGGAGGAGGCGGCCACGCTCGGCCGGGGCACCTGGGCGTGCGCTCTGGGGTCCGCCGTGTTGTCGCGTCCGACCACTCGCTGCCCACCATGCAGTGCCTAGAGCGCGAAGCTCGCGAACGACGCCGCCACGACTGCCCCCGCCGTCGCGGCGCCGGCCACGGCCCCTTGTGAAAGCGGGTGCGGCGTCTTGGCATTCTTCCGAGCGGACCGAGCCGCTTGCAACTAAGCTGGTCGGCGGTGCCGAAACCGTCGTTGGTGTCGCTGGCGGCGTCATGCCCGGGAGTTGCGAAATGGATGAAAGCGTCGGGTCGAGGACCCTCGCCGGGTTGCTCCCCCTCCGGCGTCGTCCCCTCCTGCTCAACTTAGCGCATGCGCATGCCGTAGCATTTTCAACGGAACCCCAAATCTCTCTCAAAAAGATGGATTCTTCATAAAAATTAATAAAAGAAACGTTTTGCGGGAAGTCTTTCAGCACGGCGCCGGTGGATTTGGCTCGTGGCCATAAGCGTTTTGGGTTGCCTTGAATGCATGGCATCAGCGTGACATCACTGACAATGGGGCCCCATGTCTAGTTAGTTTAAATTAAACACCCTATTAAAATATGTGAAATGACATATGGGCCCCATTGACCCTGCATGTCAGTGTCTGTGGCTGGATCTGCCCTGTGTAATAAAAGTAATTTGCTGTTTAATTCGAATTAAATAAATTCCAGGATTTTTAGAAATTGAATAACATTTACTAAATTAATAGAAAATAATCCATAAGTCAGATAAAAAAGTTTTCTACTAAGTTGTTCAGAAAAACGAGACGAAACTGAATACGCTCCTCCGTCATGTGCCCCTAGCATAGAGAACATGTAACCGTCCCCCACCGTTACATCTGTCCGAGAAATGCAAACTTCGGGAAAACATTTTCGGATGTTTTCCCCCTTCACCGGTATCGTGTAGCACTATGATAGATCACCCCTAACATTGTGTGTTGTCGTGTCGTGCATCTGTCTTACATATGTGTGCTTTATATTTACTATTTCTTCCCCCTCTTCTCTCCGGTAGACTCCAAGACCGCTGCTGATGCCACTGTGATTGACGACGTCACCGATGTCCCTTCTTCCTTTTCAGCAGAGCTTCCAGGAAAGCAAACCCCCCTTGATTATTCCGATATCGCCTATTTCATTCTCTCTCATGCTTACATTAGATTTTGCTACTCTAATTGTTTGCTCCTATTCTGATGCATAGCCTGCTTTTGTAACATGATAATGTTACATACCTGCTTATCCTAAACTGCTTAGTATAGGTTGGTTAGTGATCCATCAATGACCCCTCACATTGTCCCTGTTGCCCCTGCTTCATCATCAATGGCTCGATCAACATGATCGACGTCCAGGGCCCAACACAGCACATCACCCCCTTTGTTGCCCGGCTCTGCAGAGCTACTATCGAGTGCCGGGGGTGATACCTCATAACACACTCCTGATGATAACTATGTAGTGTAGCTATTCGGTCGTGGTCATCGAGGGTGATTCCTCCTTCACCACCCCTGATATGTCTCTGTCGTGCAACACCTCAAGTGTGAACCTCGAGGATGATTCCTCCTAAGTTCACCTTGACGATTACATCAGGTGGATTCCATCGAGCGTGATTCCTCGGATTCCCCCTTGATGTTGTGGATACACAGTTACCTGGACTTTACTTGAGACCATTGTTGAAGTCGGGTTGGCCCTGATGGGTACCTGCGAGTTGATGTGAAACTTGGGCAGGCCCGGAGAGCACCCGCGAGATAATTACGAGGCACGGCCGGGTAGGTAGACTACCCTAGTGAGAGGGTTGGGCCTGGCCCTTGCCGTATTTCCTCGAGGCGGGGCAACAGGGTCACATGATCATGAGTCTCTGCTCGTCTCCACGAGCTCCTAATACACTAAAGGTTTGGGTATTTAATATGAGTTGTCCACTGGCCTATACGCACTAGCCGCCACGCGGGAATAGAGTTGGAGGTCATTGGAGACTTGGCTACATTATGAAGAATTAAGGGGACTTCATCATTCTTATTGTCTCAAGCCAAGTCAATTGAATCATCAAGTTTATATCTTATATCCAATGTGCCTCCTTGCGGTAACTTGTACTTAAATTGCTTACATTGAAAGTTACTTGCCCCCTTTGCATGTTTGGCTTTGTTCCTTGCATGTGTTTGTATATGTTGTGCTTCCAACTTGATTATCTTGAGCAATCAAGTATGTGTGTGTTGGTTTGCACATCATGTACGTGTGTGTCATGCGTTGAGCCTTTTGCATCTTGTTTATTTCTTAGTTGGCTCTTGTGAGAGATTAATGGAGTATCCCATTATGGGGGAGTTATGTGCTTTGTGCACTTCATAATCCTATAAAGGTGGGTACATGGGGAATACCACTTAGAATTGATATTGCAAGCTTATCTAGTCACTATGTGGTATGTCTTCTCATGAGAAATTCAAATTCTAAATTGTCCATTAATTATCTCTTGTTGGATCGTTTTTTTGCCTCTTGTTTATCTTTTATTGGTATCACATTATGGGGGAGTAATATGCTATGTGTATATTACTAGCCTAAAAATGTGTACATTTGAGATATTATCACCTAGAATTGATATTGTAAATTATCTTGTTCCTAGGTGGCATGTGAGCTCTACAAGTTGCAATTTGCTTTTTGTTTGGTGTGAAGATGATGTCGGATATCCTTGCTATCTACCACCGGGAATTATTTCCAAATACTTCTTGTCTTTTGACAATTGGTACTCACTTATGTGTGGTAGAAATTATTGATCATCTTTACATTGGCCTTTGCTTTTATTTGCTTTATCGCTTGCCTAGGATTGTGTCAACTCCCATTGTATTCCATACCACTTGTGGATCTTGTTATTTACTTGAGCTTGTCTAGTGTTTGTATAGATATAGTGAAAGTGGTGATCCCATCTTATGCTTTTTGTATTCAAATGCAAGTTCTCTATAATGCACTAGTCTTGGGGGAGCTATCATATTTTCTATAAAACACTCATCTTGTGATCCTTATCAAGTGTGTGTCAGTGGAAGGCAAGTCATTTCTTTTGGGTACTTTGTGCCATCTTGAAACTTTGTAGAGAGCTTGGTTTGTTTGGAACCATCCTCTCTTTTGGGGGTTTGATATCCTTTATTTAGTGGGTATCAATGGATATCTCATTCCTTGATGTATCTTTTATTGATATCCTCCAAGTGCTGATTTATTCATTTGGTATATTTTCTTCACTTGGTATTTCTTTGTCTTTTGGTCTCGGTTCTTGAAAGTCTTGAGCTTGCATATTTACTTCTTGTAGTTTCTTTGGCATGTTTTCTTTCTTTGACCCAATATATAGGGGGAACTCCACCAAGTCTCAAATTGGATGAGATGTGCATGAAATTCTTTTTCATATCTATATGCACATATTTATGTGGAGTTTGTCCTACGTGTTGTTGGTTCTCTAACTCTTTGGTCCCAATGAGTTTGGGTACCATTTTGTTTGTGTTGTTGTTCTAGGAACAAGTGGAGATGCATTGGATGCTCGGCTCACTCACAAGGAAGGTGTTTTCACCATGTGCTTATTGGAGTCAAGCTAGTATGATCAACTACTTTGTACCTTCAATTGGTATCTACTACATCCTTCCAATGTTATCTCGGTAACAAGTATCTTCATATACTTCATGCACACATTTCTTGTATCAACCTTGTGTAGGTTGTATCATGGCATGTTATTCATTCATTCTTGTGATACTTGTTTTCTTTCTCAAAGCATTCCAACAATGATCTCTTGTTGCTAGTTGTGATGTCTTTGTTGTTCGTGTGTGGACTTCATTTATATACAATAAGACCAATATCTAGCCATGAGCTATGCTTCCAAGCAAATATCTTATTGGTATATGTATGACCTCCCTTTGGATATCTTGTTCCTCGTGTTGTAACTATTTCGGGTGTACATCCTTCTTTGTAGATATATATCATCATGATTTGTCTACCTAGAATCTTATACACTTGAGAGAAGTTGCATATCTAGTTGATA